CTAAAATCAACAAAATACCGAATATCGGGAGGTACCATTATATGGGAAATATCAAAACGTGGATCTGCACAGAGAATTTTCTGTCATAGGCTGTAGTATCCATTACGAAATTCTAATACCAAATTTGAAACATCTTCGGTGAATGATGTCGCTAAAATCATCAAAACACAGATTATCGGGAGGTACCGTTATATGGAGGCTATACGAAGACGTGAACCTGCACAGACAATTTTCTGTGTTTCTGTGTATCCAATACGAACTTCAAACATAAAATTTAAAACAATTCCGTTGAAAAATGTCGCTAAAATCATCTAAATACCGAATATCCGGAGGTACCGTTATATGAAGGCATAAAGACGTGGACCTTCACACACAATTTTCTGTTTTAGGCTGTAGTATCCATTAAGAACTTCAAATACGAAATTTGAAATTTGAAATAATTCCGCTCAATAATGTCGATAAAATCATCAAAATACCGAATATCGAGAGGTACAGTTATATGGGGGCTATATGAAAACGTGGACCTGTACAGACAATTTTCTGTCATAGGCTGTAGTATCCATTACTAACATTAACACTGTATTTGAAACAACACCAACATAATATACATTCTTGTAAAATTTTATCAACCTACTTTATTTCGTTCGCAATCTTGAGTGATTCCACAGACTGATATGCGGTCGGACAGGCATCGCTAAATCGAGATAGAAATTTATGCTGATCAGGAGAATATATATACATATTGTAGGGTCTAAAATGTATATTTCGAGGTTTTACAAACGGATTGGCAAACTTAATATACTCTCCATACTATGATGGAAGGCAAAAAATACTTTTACATTTTTTGATTTAAAAATTCTTCCACAACTTCATCTCAAGGTGTAGAGAAAGCATCTAAAATGTTATTTCTAAATGTTAACCTCAAAATAGGTGACACCAACGCCTCGGGGTATCCATTACAGTTTTTTCAAATGGATGAAAATAAAAATGTGTCGTTTATATTTTTTCTGTATTGTCAGTGTGACATACACATGTATATATGCCTGTACATCAATAGAAGGTCGAAAACATACTGATGAATATTTACACATGGAATAAATGTTTCTTAAAATGTTGAAATTTGTCCCTGTTCAATACGTCTGTTTTTGTATCCATATGTTAATATATGAATTTTTTGATTGACATCTGTCCATTTAAAAAGAAAATAATTGAAATACGATCTTTGATCGGATGTCAAACAGAATGAAGACTATAACAAAATTGAAAAAAGTGTTCAAAGCTAAATATATAAAAAGTTCTTAACAAATTTAAATATCGGGAAAGGTAGGTATAGGACTCCGGCTGATTGGAGCTATATCATCCCAAGGAAAATTCCCATTAAAATGCAGGTTACCAACCTATTATATTAATAACGACATGCCTCATGAAATCAATAGTTCTTTTCTGATCCGCTGTCGATTTTTCAATTAAAGTTTCTTGTCAAGGATGATTCACATATATTTCCATATTTTGATTTTTTTTTAAGTATCGCTTCAACTGGACCAAGGTTTTTGCGATTTTTGTGTCCTGCAGAAAGTATTTAAAATCATTACCATTTGAAGTAAAATACAATAAGTTTTTGCCTCCAAAAACCCTCATTATTCAAATCTCTTACCAAATTATTACAAAAACATCAATTCCACGTGTTGGAAACCTCAACCATTAAATGTCTCAAAAAAAAAAAAAAAATATTTGTTGTTTTTTTCTATCTATTGGAAATTGAATATTTTTTTAGATGTGAAAATTGATACTTTAAACAAAATTTTTAGAAATAAAAAAATATATACGAATCACGAGGTGAAAAATAATTGTTTTGTTAGTATTTTTTTTTCCTTTGTGATATTTTTTTCTAATTATGAAAATTGACACCCTTGGAAAATGTGAAGCGGAAAAGGGTGTAATTCCAATAGGTGTGATGAGAAAAAGAGATGTGAAATACAAATATTGTGGACCCATGAAATGTATTGAAGGCATATTCGATTGCGACTTGAAAATGTTTAAAAAAATATCTCAGAAATTGAAATAATTTAATAATTTGCCGACAGATGTATACCCTCAGATAATGTTCGATTATGAAAATTAATTTTGACTTTTGTCATGAATATTCAAATGTTTGGCCCACTATAGAGTAGGTACCGAAGGAATGGACCAATATTGTCCATTTCGTATTAGACGCATAAAATATGATATAATTGCGATGTGCCAGTTTTGGGCTATATCGACCACTTTCTTCACTTTATATGAGATGTGTGATAATTTTTAGAAAATGTTAAAGTGTGCGTGTGTTACCAGATATAGTCGATCGAAGTATACCATTTTCATACTTCATAAAATACAGATATATATTGGCATGGGCAAAATTTATATCCAATTTTATGGAAAATCACAAATTCTATATTCATCTCAGGTTTCTTGTTGAGAGAAATATGATAGGTATAACAGGCAAAAGTATTACAAATTGTGACCCTTTGTGGATGAGGTGCCAGACGGGGATGGCAAATATATATCATCTTCACAACAGATCTTGTGTTAGCAAAAAAGTTTGTCTGTGTGAAATTTGAGAAGATTTGGATGTTTATTTCGCTTCCTTCGATTTTTTTTAAAAGTCCACGGTTCTGGCCCTTATATGCCTTCGATTTTTTTTAAAAAATCCACGCTTCGAGCTCCTTATGCTATCACAAAATGTTTAAAAATCCACGCTTCGGGCTCCTAATGCCATCAAAAAATGTTTAAAAAATCCACGCTTCGAGCTCCTTATGCCATCACAAAATGTTTAAAAATCCACGCTTCGGGCTCCTAATACCATCAAAAAATGTTTAAAAATCCACGCTTCAGGCTCTTATATGCCTTCAATTTTTTTTTAAATCCACGATTCTTTCCCATGTATGCCTTCGATTTTTTTTAAATTCCCGCTTCTTTCCCTTATATGCCTTCGAATTTTTTTTTAAATCCCCGCTTCATTCCCTTATATGTCCTCGATTTAAAAAAAAAATCCACGCTTCGGGCTCCTAATGCCATCAAAAAATTTTAAAAAATCCACGCTCCAGGCTCTTTGTGCCTTAATTTTTTTTAAATCCACGCTTCTGGTTCTTATCTGACTCCAAAAAATTTTAAAATCCACGCTTCTGGCTTTTATCTGACTCCAAAAAATGTTAAAATCCACGCTTCTGACTCCTATTTGCCTTCAAAATTTTTTCAAAAAATCCACGCTTAAGGCTCTTATGTGCCTTCAATTTTTTTTTAAATCCATGCTTTTGGCTACTTTGTGCCTTAATTTTTTTTTAATCCACGCTTCTGGGTCTTATCTGACTCCAAAAAATTGTAAAATCGACGCTTCTGGCTCCTATTTGCCTTCAAAAATTTTTCAAAAAATCAACGCTTCAGGCTCTTATGTGCCTTCAATTTTTTTTAAATCCATGCTTTTGGCTACTTTGTGCCTTATTTTTTTTAAATTCATGCTTTTCCAAAAAAAAGTTAAAATCCACGCTTCTGGTTCTTATTTGACCCCAAAAAAAAGTTAAAATCCACGATTCTGGCTCCTATTTGACCCCAAAAAAATGTTAAAATCCACGCTTCTGGCTCTTATTTGACCCCAAAAAATGTTAAAATCAACGCTTCTGGCTCCTATTTACCTTCAAAAATATTTTTAAAAATCCACGCTTCTGGCTCCTATTTACCTTCAAAAATATTTTTAAAAATCCCCGTTTCTGGTTCCTAATTGCATTCGAAAATATTTTTAAAAATCCACGCTTCAGGCCCCTATTTGCCTTCAAAAATATTTGAAAAAAATCCAATCCTCCGGCTTCTATTTGCTCTGAAAAATATTTTTTTAAAATAGAATGTTTAAAAAAATATTCTTGAAAACCTACAATATCATTTACACCTCCTTGAAAGCATATTTCTAAAAAAATCCACGATCTTAACATGAGCTTGAAAAGTTATTCTTGAGAATCCACTCCCAAATAGGTCTTCTAAAAATGTTATTTAAAAGTTCACGCTCTCATATCGGGTTTTGGGTTTAGTTCTTTAAAAACAAAAATTTCAAAATTCACGCATATGTTTGGTTTTGAAAAATATTTATAAATACCTGGTCTCATTATGGACCTGAAAAACTATTCTTAAAAAATTAATGTTCTCATTTAGGGCTTAAAAAAATAATCCTAAAAAAACACTCTCTCATTTTGAGATCGAAAGAATATTTTTAAAAAATTCCATTGTAAAAAATGTAAAATAAATTCTCTGATGGTGAGCTATATTGAGCTCCAAGTGGGTCTAATAAAAAGATTATTAAATCTATCCTCTCATATTGTGGTAAAATAAAATGAACCTTTCTTAAAATAAACCTTTAAAAATCTCTGCTTTCATTTTGAATTTGAAAAAAATATATTTTTTATAAATTCACGCTATTATTTTAGTCTTGAAGACATATTATTAAATACCTGGTCTCATTATGAATCTGAAAAAAATATTCTGTAAAAATGCACGCCCTTATTGTGGGCTTCAAAATATATATAAAAAAATCATGCTCAAATTTTAGGATTGAAAAAGTATTTTTAAAAAATCCATTCTCTCATTTTCTCTGAAAAATCCGCTCTCATACACTCTTATAGCTGTGGCAACGCTTCAAAATCATCATTTAAGGTTCTTATAGGCCTTTAGAAAATATTCCTTAAAAATCGACAGATTCTGTTATCATGGACCTTTATAAACTACTTTAAACCAAAACAATGGATACTCTATTTTTGAACACCCTTTTGTCAATGTCAATCAGTCAATCAACATGCCAACAAATACACTCACACACACACGTGTATGCGATGACACTCGTTTTAATTTCAAACCAAAATATATGTGCATAATTATCGGTCATACACAATTCATGTGGAATTCTATATAGAAATGGAAATGGTGAAAATTTAATGCCATGGCAAATAAATTTAATAATTTGTGTTTCAATTTAGATTAAATCAAATGCTATGGACTGAACGAAACAGAAACAAAAAAAAACAACTACAAACTATAATTAGAAATAATTTTTCCAATCAACAAAAAGCCAGCAAAATTAAAACACCGGAAATAAATTACAAAGAGAAAAACTAAATAACAATTTATAAAAAAATAGAAACAAAAATAGAGTGAAATTGAAAAAATAACTATACAACAAAAACAACGATAGAGAAAAAAGCTGTTTCCCCACATAAAATGAAAAATCACAATTTAGTGGATTATTCGATGGCGTCAAGTAAATGCAATGCGGCCGCCGCACCCCCACCACCTGCTGGCCAATGTTTGCCAGTAAATAATGCAAATTACAGTACAAGTAACCACCACAACAATAATAACAGCAGTAGCAACAACAACAACAACAACAATGATCACATTAGCATAATCAATTCCAACAAGAACAATTTTATCAATGGCACTACCATTAGCTCGGCAGCCATTGCCTACAACGGAAACGGAAATGTTAACGAAAGTCTGATCAACAATAAAAGCCTAACATCCACAATGGTCTACAGCAATAGCAACAGCAGCAGCAGCATCAGTAGTGGTAGTGGCAACAACAATAGCAGTTGCAACAACAACATCAACAACAGCAATGCAACTGCATTAACATTATCCTCAAATTCTACAAATTCAATAATGGCCACATCGTCCTCCCCATCAGCAACCTCTTATTCCGTCTCTGCATCAGCATCGTCTTCCGCAGGCCTGCCATCGGCCATGGACCAACATAGCTCCTCGATAACCACAATGGCAACAAACAAATCAACCAATACATCCAATACAACATCACCTTCCAGCCTCCAAGGTGCAACCACAAATGGCCATCATCATCATCAGCAGCAACAGCATCATTCTCAGCATCGTCAGCAGCAGCAACATCAACATTCGACCAGCCAGCCTCCACCGCCACCACTGCAGAATCATCAACAGCAATTGTATCCATCGATAACACCAACATATTGGCAACCGGCTCCAAATCCAGCCCCGTATTTAGTTCCAGGTAATTAGTAACAACAACAACACGAACATTAACTCTTATGACCGAACTAAAGCAAAATGTATGGACAAACTACTCCCTCTCCATCCCATGCTCTCTCTCTCCTCTCAATCGATCACAGTAGGTAAACAATGCAAACATGGTGGACACAAATACTTGTGTGACACCTGAATTATATCAACACATACACATGGGCACTGCTAAAATTAGCTGTTGTGTTGTCATTACAGTGTATTATGGGTCCTGTGAATGGGTTCGTCCTGCAACAACGAAAACAAAAAATAAACAAGCTTAATGAACAAAATACCTTTTCAATAAAGCTTTGAATGTTGATTAAGGACACCAATACGGGGAGTTGTTTTTCAGGAAATTAAAAAACTGTATCGTCCGGGTGACAATAGACAAAATTTAAAATTTTATATTAATGGAATAGTATGTTGACTATTTTCAGTAATATTTTTATATATTTGCATATACCAAGAAAAAATCTCATTAGGCCGTAAAAATATGCTTCTAAAATTCCATTTTCAAATTTCAGGCTTGAAAAAATATGCAATCTCATTTTGAGGTTGAAAACATATTATTAAAAAAGATATACTCTTTCATTTTGGACCTGAAAGTAAATTCCTTAAAAGTCCGCGCTCGCATGGCAAAACTGTTCTGGAACAATCCTTCTATTTTAAGCCTCCACAAACTCACTTTGGCTGGAAAAATATTCTTAAAAAATCTTTGGACTCATATAGGGCTTGAAAAAATTTGTAAGTATTAGAAGCTTCTGTTAAAAGCCTTGAAAAATATTCTTAAAAAATCTCTGCTATCATTTTGGACTTGAACATTAGTCTCAAAAGATGTACTCTCTCTCTAAAAAATATTCTCATAAAGTCGACGCTCTCCTTTTGGGTCAGAAAAATATTCTTAAAAAATCGTGGCACTAACATTTTGGGCTTGAATTTTTTTCTGAAAAAAATCGACTCATTTATTTTGGGCTTCAATAAAATATTGTTAAAAATTTACTCCAGAATTTGGGTTTAAAAATATTTTTTCAAAAATCCATTCTCTCATTTTGGTCTCAATTTGGAAATTTAAAAATTTTGCACTGGGCGACAAAATTTAATTTTTTAATAATTACAGAAGAAAAATCCAGTAGAGCAAAAAGGAGAAGCCACGTGTATCGGAGTTTGAAAATATGTATCGCAATGTAACCAAAATAGAGCAAGTTCTCCCCTCTTTCACGCTTTTGGAAATTTTCAGATGAAGATTGCTTGGAATCCGTTAATTTTCGGTATACAGTGTCTTTGGCAAAATTATAGATAACAAAACGAGTGAACCAAAGGGGTCTTTTTTGGTTCTTTTTCGAAAATATGGTTAAAATTTCCCCTTAGACGTGCCATAAAATTCTACTTAAGTCCCTAGAAGACTTAAAAAGTCAAAATTTTGCATAAATATTGGGAATTCGCCTATATTCAGATTAAACCCTTAAAAAGTTTCGGACGGAGTTTTCAAAAACCTTATATTTTGAGATATATTTCGCAACATATAATATAGAGCCTTGGAAATTGTAGAGAGTTTTGGACTAAACACCAAATTGTAGCATTTATTACGATTTTGTTATTTTTTTTATTTTGGGATTTTCAAAAGGGCTTTTGTTAAAGCCCTTCCACTAATTATTTTTTTTGTTTCCACAGTGTTATGAGAAAATCTATGCTTCCATTTAGGTCTTGAAAAAAACATTCCTTAAAACTCCTACTATCATTTTGGAGCAGAATAAAAACATTTCTAACAAATAGTTGATACTATTTAGGCTTCTGAAGATCCACGGTCTCATTTTGGGGGCTTAAAAATATTGTAGATTTGATAAAATTTTCCAAAAAATGGACTTATTTATTTTAGGTTTGAAAAAATATCCTTATATAGCTCAAACGACATTTTATGCTTGAAAAAATATTCTTAAAAAATCTTATGGTTCTTACAGGCATTAAAAATCATTAAAATCGTCTCTTAAAACTATATAGAAAAAATTCGGTCTCCCAAATATCCGGTTCGCACTCGATCTTGAACAAATATTTTTTAAAAATTGGCGATTCTATTTAGCCATTTTTGGCCTGAAAAAAATATTTTTGAAAGTCTATTTTGGGCTTAAAAAATATTCATAAAAAACACTTTATCAGTCTGGCCTTGAAAAAGTATTCCTAAAAATAAAAAATATTTAATCCCTAAAAAATATTTAAAAAATTTCCGCTCCCATTTAGACATTAAAAATCATTGCCTAAATCTACAGTAGGTCATATATATTTTTTAAAATTCTAACTTATAGCTTCTTTAGGTGTAATTTCAATGCTCTCAAAAAATAGTCAGTATAAGTAAGGCCTCCATATAAAGAAGCGTTCTGGTACTTGTCATTTTCGCACATAACTTAAGAGTGATAGAAATATTATATTACATCAAAAGTGGACTGATTTCCCATCCTTGAAGAGATATACGAAAAAACACTCTTTAATATTTTAGCAACTCGAAGGGACTATCGCATTGAAGAAAAAAATGATTCTAAACGTTGCAAATAACAATTAATCAATCCATACACCTGGTAATATTTATATTACCTGTGTCAGCTGCGATGTTTATCAAACATGGCAATGGAAGCAGTTCGCGAATAACTTTCTCAACAGAACACGCATTTTGATAAAATAATAAGCCGATACATGGTTAAATTATGGACCAATTTGAAGACGTTTGACAGTGAAACAAAACGTGCGTGAACTGTTTATGCGAATGTTACTAAAATGATAATAGCTAAAAAATCACCCTTTAAATATAAAATATCGCCATAAAAATAAATTGTCACATGCCGACACATATATTCTTGTCGGAAAACCAGATGATGCTCGTTTTATATAAAAACTACAAAATTATTATTATTATTATTATTATTATTATTATTATTATTATTATTATTATTATTATTATTATTATTATTATTATTATTATTATTATTATTATAATTATTATTATTATTATAATAATTATTATTATTATTATTATTATTATTATTATTATTATTATTATTATTATTATTATTATTATTATCATTATTATTATTATTATTATTATTATTATTATTATTATTATTATTATTATTATTATTATTATTATTATTATTATTATTATTATTATTATTATTATTATTATTATTATTATTATTATTATTATTATTATTATTATTATAATTATTATTATTATTATTATTATTATTATTATTATTATTATTATTATTATTATTATTATTATTATTATTTTTATTTATTTATTTGTTTTTTTTTTCAATTTATTTATTTGTTTTTTTTTTTAAAAAGTATATTTCTGTAATTAATGTATTATTTATTATATATAATAATTAATAAATTGTTTTGTTTTTTTATTTACAGGTAAGCATCTCATTTATAATTTCCCCCTTTGGGTTCGGTGGGTAAGTTCAGATATAATTGTTAATAAAATCTGTTTAAGTTTAATATCAAAAATTTGCCAATGTTTATATTCACGTGCTGATTCAAACAATTTTATTGTGGAGAACAGTTTTTCTACAACGGACAAAACACTAAAGGTCTACTATATATGTGAATCAGATATTTTATCATACTTTACATTTAGCAGTGCTTTGATTGAATTTTAACCTCTTTCATCGAATCAGTTGTAAATGAATATTAATATTCAGCCACGTTGTCTATCGAAAATTTATATTTGTGTGTTCTCGTATTTCAGTCTAAGTACACAAGCACTAAGTACATATTCTCTTTAGTTTATTTATTTTATAACTTTCGATCAGCTGAAAAACAAATACATTCTACTACCATATATGCACAAAATGTTATTAGTGATGAGACTTTGAATGCAATGGTACTTTTCCTGAAAATGTCCAAAATATTTTTTAATGTTGGCAAAAATCATGTGGGAATAATTATAGATATTTTGGGATGTCCAGCTCGCAAAAAAGGAGCTTTCCATAAAAAATGAGCAAATATTCCCGTTATCGGTACATTTAATAGATATTGTACTATCTCTTCTGCGTTTGCCGCTGTATATATTCGTATGATAGTACTAGCGCTCAATGTGAACAAATATTTACTTCATTAAAAATCGTAATGTTAATTACACTCAATTTGATGTGAAAAATACAACAAAAAAAAACACAAACACACTTTTTCTGAACAATTTAAAGACTAATAAAAAACATTAACAAATTGAAAAAAAAAAAAAAAAACAAAATATTTTTGTACTGTCTGTCAGTCAGTAAATGAAGTGAGGTTAAAATTTGCATTAATTGTCACATAATTAGATTTATAATGACTGGCCAAAAAGGTGGGTGCAGAAAACGTATAAAACAAATGGAGTACTTGTTTCATACCAAAAAAATAGACACCTATTAAAAATTTTGAATTTGCAAAAAAAAAAAAAATAAATAATAATAATTATAATAAACCTAAATGGTATGTGTATATAACGCCTATAAATTATCTACCATATCTCCAAGGCCTTCTACCTCTTGAAGAACTGTGGAAGCTTTCTATACATCATAATATCAATAGAAAGCCTTAAAATGAGAATAACTCTTGTAGACCTTATATCTGTAGGAGATCTTTTTTTACTATAACAAACATCTATCCACGAGTTTTCCAACTACAAAAGACCTCTACAATGTCTATAGACGACTTCTTCAAAATTATGTATGGAGAGCAGACTTTCAAAGGTCATCTATACATTAAAGACTCGGAACTGACATCTATAAAAAGGGACCCTGTAAGGCCTTCATTCTATAGAAGGCTTCGGTAAGTCATCTATCTTTGGACTTCTGACCTCTTATATAGGTGATCTCTGAAAAGTCTTCCAACTATACAGTTCTTAATTTTCACATTTTCCACCATAGTATGTAGTTGCTCATCCCCACAGTAACATCTCGAAATATAAATTGTAGATTCCACAAGACCCCCTTCATCAATATACTATTCTGT